ATGATGTTGATTCGGCCGCCATGACTCTTTTTGTTGATGACCGCCCGTTGTGATATCTACAGTTCTCGGCCAACTCCGAGATAAGATTCATAGCCTGAGAAGGAGTCTTGTTAACGATTCCTCCTCCACACGCGGCATTAATCATCCGTCTATCATCGTTGCAAAGACCATCATAAAAGTATAAAATGAGGTCTTGCTCCGAATAGCCATGATACGGACAGCTCGCACAAAGTTTCTTGAATCGTTCCCAATATTCATAGAACGATTCATCATCATTTTGCTCCACATTGCTGATTTGCTTTTTGAGAGATGAGGAGACAGAGGCGGGATAGTACCTTTCAAGGAAAGCCTTTTTCATTGCCGCCCATGTGTCTATACTTCCCGAAGGAAGATAGAACAGCCAATCCTTTGCGGTGTCCTTGAGTGAGAATGGAAAAGCCCGCAATTTGATTTGCTCCTCGGTTACTCCATTAGGGCACATGCTTGTGCATACAACATGGAACTCTGAGAGGTGTTTATTCGGATCCTCTCCTCTTAGGCCATGGAAAGATGGCAAAAGATGAATGAGCCCTGATTTGAGCTCAAATGTATTACCTTCGTTGAGTGTAGGGAAGGTAATACATAGCGGTTGTTGATTCAAGTTTGGAGCTGTGAGCTCCCTTAAGGTTCTTGTTTCTTGAGCCATAGTGATTGGCTCTTCAGATTCGCTAGAACTGGAGCTAGCGTTTGAGGTTTCCTCCGAGGGTATGTGCGGAATTAAATTTCTCAACCTCTCGAAGGCTTGTTCTATTTCAGGATTTGCTTGATAAGTGATTTCGTTTATAGAACGATACCGGACCATATACTTCACAAAACTCAGAAATAGACAAATAAGAACCCTTTATATTCTTGGTTAATTATTTTTTTTTTTTTTTTGGTTTGATTTTTCTTGAAACAAAAATAAAAAGAAAGATAATTGCCTTTCCCCGGCAACGGCGCCAAATTTGACGTGCACTTGTCGTGAGGTGCACTCAAAATAATAATCAATACAACACAAATACGTAGTATAGTGAAGTAAGGTTCGCATCCACAGGGAAAGGAATTCTTTTCTTCTTACAAGAATAAATAAGTAACAATAAGGGGGGTTTACATTTGGTTGAAGAACTTTAAATTATATTTAAGCACGAAGATGAACGAGTTATGTGGTTTACTTTAATAGAGATGAAGGCTTGGTTTTGCTTTTATCCACTTAATGAAATGTTCGTCGATCCCGGTTATATCTTTAACTATCTTCCTCTCGAATACTCAATCGAGGAGTATATCCAATTCATCGAGGGTAGTTATTAATAACGAGACGCGTTCATTAATAAAACTTACTACCGAGTTAATATAGAACACGCGCCGTATATTCACTCGATAGTAGCAATAAAATCAAGATGAAAACGATTGAGATTGATAACCTCAACACAAGCGGTTTATTGGTTTAATCAATATAATTAATTCCCCTTGGTTTATTAACCATGAAACGCATGCATTAATAAACCCAAGTTTACTACCGCGAAAGGACCGAGTTAATAACAAGCGTATTAATCGACCGATTCTAGTAATAATTAATATATGAAACAAAACTAGTTGATCCTTTAAGTAATTTTCAAAATATTAATATGAAATATGAATGGGAATTAATTAATACTCAAGGAAGAATATTAAAGAAGATGAATCCTACTATAGTTAATATCAAGATGTTAACTAATTGTCATCTTAGTAACAATCCCCAATATTAACATAGAGGAAGAAATAGCTATTACTATAACTAATGTCAAGATGTTAACTAATTGTCATCTTAGTAACACTCCCCAACATTGATATAGAAATAGTATTTAAAGGAAGAAGTAATATTCAAGGAAGAAGATTAAAGAGAATAACTCACAACTTACAAATTCATTAAGCTTCAAAGTAGCAAAACCAAGATGGAAGAGTTTAGCTCCTCATTTGGAGACTAAACATGATGAAAAATATAAAGAAAGAACTTGTCTAAACTGAGCTAAGAAGTATATGTGAATTGGTTCCCTTCTTGTGGAGGAAATGGGGTGTATTTATAGGCTTTTTAGGCTTGCAGGGTCGTGTACCCGATCGGGTTTTCAGCCCACTCGATCGGGTACCATATGTGGCTTCGGCGAAGCTGAAAAATGGGGTCATACCCGATCGGGTCTGTCTGTCACCCGATCGGGTATGGATACCCGAACGTGTTAAAATCTTCCCGCATGATGCCTTGTTCCCGGATTTGATTTGATTTGAAATTTCAGAAGGGTACCCGACCGGGTATAGGTCATACCCGATCGGGTACAGACCAAAAACGAGATCTTCAATCTTTTTCTTGCATTCTTGCACCTTCCTTGTACTGGTGATGTTCTCCAAAGTGTATTTGGACCTGTTTGAGCTCAGAATAAACCTAATCTAAACATATTACAAATATTTTACAAACTAAACTATTTACACCAAAAGTGTGTAATTTCCAAAGTAACAATCACTCGAAACTAATTAAAAGCACAAATTTAAATATGGAAATTACACGAATGTCAGTACCATCAAAGGGAATATAATACTCCACTGAGGTCATACACTCTCGCACTAACTGTTTCCATTTAGGATCGAAGCCCATAACTCTCATAATAGACTCCAAATATCCCCATTCGACTCGGTCATAAGCCTTGCTCATGTCTAACTTGAGTGCCGCAAATCCATCCATCCCCTGTCTCTTGCGCTTTAACCAATGAATAGTCTCAAAAGCCACCATAACATTATCTGCTATAAATCTGCCTGGGACAAAAGCACTTTGATTTGCAGAGACTAAATCATTTAATATGCACTTCAATCTATTGCCCAAGACTTTACCAAAGATTTTAATTAGCACATTACACAAAGCAATAGGCCGCCAATCACTCATAAACTCTGGCTTGTCTTTTTTCAGGATAAGAATTAAATTAGTTCTGTTTACCTCCTTCGATACCCTTCCTTCAGTGAATAAATGTTGGCAATAACGAACAATGTCATCTCCTAAAATATCCCAATAATGTTGAAAAAAGGCGGGGTTCAAACCATCCGAACCTGGAGATTTATCCGGGTGCATGACAAAGACGGCCTTTTTCACTTCTAAAGCTGAAATCAATCTCAAGAGTTCCTGATTCTGCCTTGTAGAAACTCTTGCTAGCCCTGACAGGGAGTCATCATCTACACTGGGGCTGTTCGAATCAAACAACTCATCAGCAAAATAATCGTGAATCATCGTTCCCATTCTGCCCCTATCCTTTTCCCATTCGCCGCTAGGAAGTAATAAACCTCGCATTTTGTTCCTTCATCTTCTTTGTTTCCTTGACCCGTTGCTTTCAAAAAATGTTTTGTTTATGAAGTAAATCCAACAGAACGTCCTTCACCCTTTGAAATTCCGCAGCATTCCATCTTCATCCTTCCTCCCGCAAGTAAGCCAACCCGTTTTTGCAGATTTCAATCCGGGCTTGGAAACCAACCTGTCTATTTTTACTCCACTTATCTAGTTCCACGCCACAGTTTAAAAGCCTCTGCCAAAGTATCATGTTCTGGGAATTTTACCAAATTCTCTTTATTACCTCCCTACACCCCTCATCCTCCCTATAATCAACGGTTTTTTGACTAACTAATACTCCCTCCATCTCTTAAAATTTTGTCATCTTTCCTTTTTGACACTTCCCAAAAAACTTTGTTATTTTCCCTTTTAATCAATTATTTCGTGGTTTCTATTATTTCTCTCTCCTCTTCACAAATCTCAACCACACAGTTTTTACTCTATTATTCCCCGTGCTGGTCAACTTTGGCAAAGTTTTAAGGGACGGAGGTAGTAGTAAAAGACTAAAAGTTAACAAAATTTGACTCAACGAAGGATTTTACTAGAGTTTACAATTCCGTCAATATGGATTCTGAAGGATATTACTAGAGTTTACAATTCCGTCAAAATTTAGATGTCCTCGATTTGGATCATATATATGGAATCTATGAAAATCAGGGTGTTCTCAAACATTTCGTGGATTTATATTATTACTTATTTCGATGAATTTTAATAAGTTTTGATGGATTTCTATATACAAAAACATGTCACCACAATTTTGTAGACTCCCTTCGAATTTCAAAAATCATTATCTTTTTGGACAATTCTTTCTAACCTAGTATAATATCTGCTCAAAGTTAAGGTCAACATCCTAGAACTGGGATGAGATTCGAACCTGTAACCACCTCCTTGGAAGTATCACAGTAATGCCACTGACCATAACGGCGTGTTTGGATTGAGTGTCCAGGAGTGTTAGTAATGGAAGTGTTAGTAGGTGTTGATGTTAACACTTGTTTGGGAGAAAAATCCTGATGTGTTAAGAAGTGTTAGTAATGGTTAGGAAGTGTTAATAATAACCTTCCTAACACCTCAATTGTTCATTTTTTTAACACCCCGATTTGGAGTGTTTTGAGGTGTTGGACAATTATTACCCTTCTCATTTACCCCAAAAGATGAAATGCTTCGACATTTCACTTCGAATGTCTTTATCACAGGTCTGATGGTTTGTTTTTTCATTTCTTCTATTTACTCGCGCGTTTCTTTTGCCTCAACGTAAAATTATTAACACTTCCATTATTAACACTTCATTCATTTGACTCTCCCAAACAGGGTAAAATTATGTCTAACACTTACACTTCCCTTCCCTTCCCTTCCCTTCCGAACCCTTACTAACACTTCCATTACTAACACTTCCAAACACTCCATCCAAACATGACCTAAGGTACTTGGCAAAAATCATTATATTTAAAAATCCATCATAGTGATGTAGTTGGCGGACCGAGGGACTACTTAGTAAATATTCCATGGACACAATTCATTCTATAGGTGTACCTACCCAACGACAACGAAATAGTGCGACCAACCTTTATATGTCGACAATCTCCGCCTGGTCTGAAAAGTATATTTGAAAGGGAAAGTAAATTAGGGTATGGGTTGTGGCATTGAATCGAACCTCTTCATTTGTTCTTCTCCTCCTATGATGGCCGCCCCCGTTTTTTATTTCTTCACATCAACTCAAAACGTTATCCTTTCCCTTTCCCTTTCCCAATGCAACAGTCTTCGCTTATCTGTTTCCTTTATCTTCTCCATTGTTTAATCACTTTAATATGTCTATCTAGGGTTCATAGGTGTGGTTCTCTTATCTCTAGGGAAAGCCATTTCTAGGGGTTGGTTATGTTATTTCTTCTCCCGATTATACCCTTCCTGGCCATATATGGATGAGAAGTCAAGTTTGAGTGAAGAACTGGCCGCCAGATCGAAGGGGTAATTTTGGGAGGTGACAGAAGAGAGTGAGCACAAATGGTGTTTTCTTGCATGAGTTCTATGCTTGAAGCTATGTGTGCTTACTCTCTTCCTGTCACCCCTTTCTCTCTATTTCTCATCTTTTTTCTTGATGCATCTAAGTTCTTACACAGTTTCTTTATCTTTTTATTTTTCTACTGATGGATGATTTTATCATTCAGTTTTGTTTTGCTTTTCCTAACCCATCTTTGTTGAGGCTGACTGGCTGAAGAGGTTCATGAAATTAAGATGATCCTTCTGGCGAAACTTTCATGAAATTAAAGTTGCAGTTTATGGCTTTCTCCAGGTATATTTGAATTTCAACATGCGATTGTTTTGCAAAAAATGTGTCAAAAGAATTGAATTTTATCCCTACATATACTTGAGAAGAGTAGATCTGAAGAAAAAGTTGTTAGAACTTCTAAAAATATATGTTTTCAAGCTTCTTTCATTTCATATTTACTTTTTGTAAATTAAATTGAATTGATTTTTGTAACTGTACAAACTTTTTTTGGATGATGGCTGATTGGCTGGACCAATCATTGACATACTTGGAATAGCAATTTGTTGAGATGTCTTGATTTGCTTGACTGTGTAAAGGTTGTGAGTGACGCAAAAATGCGCCTATCTGTTGTAATTCCTTATAGTTTTGTGTTTCAGTTTTGGGCATTTTGGACTCCTCGCTTTATTTCCAGATCTAGAATGTTTTTAGTGTGATTAAAATTTCCTTTGTTGAAGTCTGATCTCAGAAACGTGGGTATAAGTGCATGTATTTTGGTGTTATTCAAGTTTGATGTGATTTGATAAAATTTGGTTTTATTTAATATTGAAAGTAATTGAATTAAATACACCCCGTGAGAATATGAACATGAATCTCTTTGTTTAAATATTTATGGTTTTAGTCTTTTAATTAAGACTTCATAAAAAGTCTTATTTTGGAAATAAGACTTCTAAGCAGAACTTCGCAAAATTTTATTTTCCTTTAATCATCCCAGTATCATTATCTCGTCCTTTACTTTTATTTTGTTGAAGGAATCTTATTTTTTCTTACTCTTTTTATATTAGAATTGAAAATGAAAAATCATTTATCCTAAGAATTGGACGATATTTTTGAAAGTATTTTTGAACATTAATTTCTTGAGGCTGTTTTTAAGAAATTTACTTGAAGTGTTTGATCTAGTTCTTGAAGTGTTTTCTTTCGGTTGCTGCAATCCAAATAAATTAAGCTACGAGATACAACTTTCAGAAATTAAGAGATAACTTTCACAGTTTCACATAACGATAATTTTAGGCAATATTCAATTCTTATCTGCTTTTATGAAGTTAATCGATACAACTTTCAGAAATTGTTTTCCTTGCTCAATGTTACTTACCTAAATTGCTATTCACTTGATGAATACGGAATATTATTTGATTTGTAGTTTGCATTTTTACTTTTGTTTAAATGAACAAGGATGCGGCAGGAGCTGTTTTGTCTTGTATTTACTTCATGATATAATTTATTTGTTGAAATATTACGTTTTTCCACAAGAATATGATTGATGTACACTTATCTTTGTTAAAATTATAGAATTTGCTCTATCTACTATCAAAAATAGTGCAAAAATATTACCCCATGTTGCAAAGGCTCTCATCTAGTGTAAAGTAAAGAGATTGAATATCACAGTTTATCCCTGTATGAAAACACAAAGAAATTGTTTCCCGATTGTTTCCGGATGATCCACATTTAAAATTACATCAAAACTTGTACCTGGATTGACTACTTCTTTGTAATGAAGAAACACAAACAGTTTGGTGTATCGTTTCGCTTTATTCCATCATGTTTCCAAATAAAAAAGTGAGAATTCTGTGGGAGTAAATTACCTGAATAGGAGTAAATTTCTGCTAAGTTATCATTACTAGGCTTTAAACATGACATTTTTTTCAAATGTGGCAAATTATTCTTATTCAAAGAATAAAAAACATGATAGTCCTATTTTGAAATTTCAAAACGTTTTTACCCCATTTAGGGCATTTTCTTAATAAAGAATATTGATTTTTTATGGAAATGTGAAAAAAATAAGTTTGCATGTTTTATCCCCCAAGATAATTAGATTTAAGAAGGTATGCCTACTGATTTTGGTTGTTTATCTCCGGGTTAAAAAAAGCTTCTCAAAATTGAAGTAATTGGATCCTGCTCTGTATTTATTATTACCTTCGTTCTGTTTTAGTTGCAACATTGGTGATTTTGCCTGATTTCTTTCATTTTAAATTTTCAATGAATAAAAGATTTTAATTGTCAACTTTTGCGTGAAAAATTGACCATAGCTATTAAAACGTTGCAATTAAAAAAGTACGTAGTAACTATTATCTTTTTATAATAGTCTCTCCCCTTATTTGATGAAGGAATTGAAAGTGCTTTGTAAATACAAGTTATCTTTACACTCTTAATTCCGTAACATTTTTTTGGCAAAAGGCAGCTTAATTATTATTAATAAAGGGCGAACACCGATACAAATTCATCATTTTAAAGACTACATTGGGATGAAACTAGAAAGTCACGTTTAACCTTCCATTAGATTGTTGAACAGTCTTTGTTAGGATCAGAACTCCGTAAAGAACTTAATTTGATATACAGAGAAATTTTTTAGTACCGAATAACCCTTCCAAACTACGTACCCATAAATCGGTAATTACTGTTGTGGTTATTCTATGTTTATTGAATACTTACTTCTTTTACTGTTGTGAGTAAAGAAAACCGTCATATAATTTCTAATGAGAAGTTTTTAAGGAATTAAATATATTAATAGTCAAAGTTTTTCATTGACAAACGTGAAATTGAAAATGTTCCAACTAAAAAAGAATGAAGTTTAAAAGTTGGTTTGTTTAAGCTTGGTCTAGTATGGTTTGAATTGGTCTGGTTTTATGTATGTCTGATATTTGTGTATTTTGTGACTGCCGAAGAATGATTTGGTCTGTGTAAATATAATTTGTTCTAATCTATTTTATTTTGATTTGATATGTTCCGGGGGCGACTGAGTATATTACCTACGTCCTTTTTTAAATTTTTCCAGTCTAGTAAACTTCAACAAAATATTTTAATTAATATATTTATGTAAAGTTTAATAATATTACACTTATGATACTTTTTTCGACAGAATATTGTCATAGCATTTTTGTATTATCAGTACTTATGTTTATAAATATAAATGTTAGACATCATTGATTTGAAAATTCAAATTTGGCTATATAGAAAGGGTGAACAGAGTACTAAAATTGAAAGTCTCTGTTTGCTTTGCCATGTCTGTGTTGATTCTCAATAGCGTTTCTTCGACCTACAACCTTTCCCGGCCTAGAGTTCGATCTTATGTATCATCTTTTTGTGAGTTTTGCCATCTTTGCTTAATTAGCTCATTTGTGCATTAATTGAAATATTTATCAACCTCCATATTGTGTTTTTTTGCTTTAATATTAGTGGTTTGTTACTAAATTTAGCAAGTGGTTTCATAAAACAACCCCTTTTCTTATGTATTATCTTTGTGAGTTGTGCCATCTTTACCGTGGCCAGTGTAATAAGCACTAAAAACATGTATAGTAGTTTAGGAGCCGATGTTGTGATTTTTTGCTTCGATATCCGGTTTTGTTACTAAATTTAGGCTCTAGAACCCTCAATAGTGTTCTTATTTCTGTGTAAGAGTTAATTCGTTGCATCAATCATAGCTCCTCAGGGATTCTATTCCTTTATCCAACTCCAACGTAATATTCTCTTATTCAAAAGTAGGGGTATGTGATAATAATAGTAATTATAATAAGTGTTATTGTTGTTATTAGTAATATTAATATTGGTAAGAGCGGTATCACTATAATAAGAATCAAGGATGGATCTAGGATTTTGAGTCAAGAGGGGTGAAATTTTTTCATTAGGTAGGGGTGAAAATTTCCTCGCTAGTGTAGCGGGGCGATTTTTTTCATTAGTGTAGCGGTGCGATATTTTTTCATTAGTGTAGGGTTTTGCGGCTATGTTTTATTAAAAAAAATTATTAATGCATACACAACGACATTCAATTCCATTCTAAGTTTAGAGAATGGAAGAATGGCATTGATTTTATAATTGAAGTGTTCTAGAAAAGTATTGATATATTAAAGCATAGGAAATGACAAATAAAAGAGAATTATTTGACTATAAAAGAGGATTTATAATATTTTATCAATTTATTTGAATATAAAAATTTTAAAGGCCATTCACCAATACTTTTTAAATAAACTTTTGCTTTGTTTAATCACATGAATTTAATCGGAATAAATGATTGATTTTTGAGTTGCAATTTTTGTCTACAAAGGTGGTGTCCATGAGTCATGAGAAGTTTTCTTAATAATACAATTGTTTGTATGATATTATTATTTTTAGAATAATATTATATTGCAGATTCATATATATGATGCCTAATATATTTGTATTAATGGTAAAATAAGTTAAAGTTTATTATTTATTCAATAAATTATTTTTAGAAAGTAAGAAGTAAATCGATTGAGTAATTCAATGTTAAGTGTTATCAACAAACATTTATATTTTGGATGCAATTCACATGATTTGCAAACTGTTTAAATATTGTGTCTGATGATTAAACATTACAAAACTAGACATTTTTATATAGTATGTATGAAGTATCATAAGCCTTGAAAAATGAGTTGTTCTATTGTTATTTGTTTAAATTAAATAAATTATTTTAGATGCTATATAAAATTTCAAAAACTAAAAATTAAGGGGGAGAAGCATATATATCTAATTTTGAAAGTTCAAGGGGCGGTAGCCCCCCAATCCATCCCTAATGAGAATAATCAATGGTTTTATCGTATAATATGAGAATCAATATTCAGGGCCTGTTTGGTAAGAGCTGCATTGGCTGGAATGGCTGAAAAGTCTGAAAAGACTGAATTTGTTGAAATGAAAGTGTTTGGTAAGATGTTGACTGAAATGGCTGATTGAGTGTAAAATTACCATAAAGGGTATTAACTTATTCGTGTTAAATATATGAGTGTAAGTTTTACTATTAAACTACTTTTCCTTGATTAGATAATTATAAATTACCTAAATAGTTGATTACTTTGAAATTTTCCAATTTGAAATAATCTTAATCACATTAAATTACTCACAAATAAAATATATTCCGTATCTTTTTTGCAAGGAACAATTTAAATTGTCATTAATAAATCATAATCAAAGAGTGCAAAATATGAGGAGGATGCTAGTCATAAAACAGACATGGAACATCTACCCAGCAACATCAAACATCATAGTTACTGGGAATCAACTAAAGTTTCATGGGCTAATTAATCACAATATATTACACACAACTAAAAAGTTTCCGGATCGCAATCTTTGCAGTTATGGAACAAACCATTGGAAATCTCTAGTGCTTGAGAGTTATGATCCTTTGCATTATAATAACGGAAAAGCAACACCACTCGGAAAAACGAAAAATGACCGCTTCTTGGAATTCTTCTTTCTGAAATTACCTCTGAATATGAAGAATCTGAGCAAGAATTTGTCGATCTGGAAGGTCAAAACTATGGCGCAATCGAGCAGGGAGGTCATCGATCGGGAAGGACAAAATTATGGCGCAGCAATTGAATTGAAAGCTTCTTGTCATCGATCTGGAAGGGCAGTGCTATGGCGTATTACGTAAAATAAAAGGGTAAAGTAGTATTTTTAGATTGCAACGGTCCAATAATAACTTTCAGCTCAAAAAGTAACCTTATTGTTACTTTTTTGGCTGATAAGCAAAAACAGCCCAAACAGCCCATTTGCTATGTGTTTGGCAATATTTTTGCATTTTCAGGCTTTTCAGCCCATTTTTATTGCTCCAAACGGCCACTCAATAACAAAGAACATTGCTTGTCATTAGGTGGGCCCAACTCTAGCTCGAAATTCACAAGTCCAGACCTGTACATATTTTTTCTATAATTGGTTTATTTTTTGTCGATACAATTTCAAGTAAATAACTAGATGGCGCATTAATTATAAAAGTTAACACGAGAAAGACGGAAGATCACGGATCGTCCTGTCAATGGGTCGGGTCTAGACTCGATCCCGATCCGAACCCGCCACTTTATTTGGATGATTTTTTTCTCTTTTATTCCAAGGGGCGTCTGAGGGAGGGAGTCTGGGGGATCTGAAGTAAACTGGGTTGAAACTCATTCCATTGAGTTTCGAACTCGAGACCTTCCATCAGTGGCGTATCCAGAAAAAGATGCTAGAGGGGGCGAATTTACCTTAGATTAAGAAAAAATTACAAGAAAAATCAAACTAATCAGATTAAGAAAAAATTGTTAAAACCATTCATAAATAATAAATTATTCTTTCTTCAAAAACATTATGATATCATGTTTACTTAAATTTCACTTTGTTAGAAATAATTTTATCACATGGAATCTGTAATTTGTGCAAAATTATGTCAATGTATAAATGAATCAACTAAGGGAAGGAGGAGCATCTAGTTAGAATTAATTTAAATTTAAAATTCACAAGTATATTAAAAAATACTCTGTAGTTTATATTATGTACAAAATTAGTTCATATGTGAATCTATAATTGATATAATTGAAACTATATTGATGTATTTAGATTTTTCCAACAAGAAATACCGTAGTAATAAATAAAAAGAACAATGTAAAACCAACTTGTTTAAGGCTTCAAGACAAAAGAAATAAAAACAAAAATAAACTGCATTAGGTAGGGATTGAACTCTGGACGTCATCACGTACACACATCTTACATCTACAACCACATCCGCTCTACCATTAGCACATTTTTGTAATGATCTCGTACTTAATCTATAAGAACCCTTTATTTAGAACAAAATTATACTCCCTCCGTCCCTGAAAATTGTTCTCTGTTTCCTTTTTGGGCCGTCCCAAAAAATTATTCCCCTTTCCCCTTTTGGAAAGTTTTTTTTTGCTACAATTCATTTACCTTTTTCTTACTCAACCACAACCATACATTTTCACTTTATTCCCACTTTCTTAAACTCCGTTCCAAGTCAATGCGGGAACAATTTTCCGGAACGGAGGGAGTGTGTGAATTTAAATTGGATATATATATAAAAGGGTTGGGTGGGGGTTGAATGGGGGCAGTTGCCCCCCTTGTCCCCACCCTGGATACACCCATGCCTCCCATAAGGTTCTAAATTTAGAACCGTTTCCCGGACCCGTATCCGAACCCGTTACATGATAAAGAAAATGAGCCAAATATGGATTTTAAGTTCCGACCCGTTTTGGACCCGACCCGTGATTATATAATTATAGTTATAATTTTTTTGCATACACACACACAATATACATAAAAATATTTAAACATAAAATAATGAAAATAATCAAATATAAAAAATGTTTTAATATTTGTAGGCTTATTTAGTGGTTGGCCCACTATAATGGGATTTTTCCTAATGAGTTAGTACTCTAGGTTCTCTATGAGTTCACTAATATGCCCCGAATATATTGTTTAGTTCATATGGAGTAACGAATAGAACAACATTTTGCATAAGATTTCTACCAACATGAACATTTTTTTGTTATTACTCCATACTATATTTGTTTCCATGTGTCATTTACTTTTTTTGCGGGTATACCTGGCCCGGATCCGAGTTCCGCCGGATCCAAATTTGGAACATATGTTTAGGACCCGAAGGGTAAATGGGTCCGGATCTGGATTAAATGTTTTTCAATGAATATGGATATGGAATTTATAGTTTCGGCCTGTATCCGACCCGTTGACAGGCCTAATCTCTATTCTAATTTATGTTTATTCAATTTTCAATACTTATTGTAACCACAATATGTAACAACTATAATGTTTAATTAGTGAATTTGTATGTATAAATGTAATATTAATATTTTGGAAAATAAAAATTTTATTTTTAATTAATTGACAAAACTTGACCTGACTCGAGCTGAGCTCTGATCGAGTTCGGGCTTGTGAATTACTCCGTATTAGTAAACTCAAACTCATGTATACCATCTTCTAGAGTATCTTTTGATAAAAATTAAGGGCCTGTTTACTAGAAAATATCTTCAGAGATATTTTCCAATTTTCCAGAAAACTGGAAAACTGGAAAACAGAAAACAGGAAACGTGTTTACCAAAGAAATTGCTAGAAAACTGATGAAAGGAAAAAAGAAAAACGCGTTTACCAAATGATTTTCCAAAATGGAAAAAATGAGACATGTCTCTCTTTTCCTTCATGATTTGGAAAAGCGACTTTTACTAGTTTTCTGAATTTGGAAAACACAGATGCTACAGTGCTGCTGCAATGAATTTGCATACTTACACCTACTGGTGGGTCCGGTCCCGCTCCGATGTTGATTCCATTCCGGTACCTCCATCCTCGTACCTTACCCCTTACCCCTACCCTACACCACCCACCCTAACCCCACCCCACATACCCATTTTCCCCTATAATGACCCTACCCCACCCCTACCACATGCCCCTACCTCGGCCCCACCTCGATCCACTCTACCCTACCGCCACCCCCCTACCACCTCGACCCCACCCCGACCCACCCTACCCCCACCCGTATATTACCCCTTAACACATGCCCCCTACCTCGGCCCCCCCCCACCACCATCCTACCCCCACCCTCGTACCGTCATCCTACCCCCCACCCTTGTACCGTACCGTCATCCTACCCCCCACCCTACCCTTCCCCTACCTCGGCCCAACCCGGATCCCGGGCCCACCCTACCGCCATCCTATCCCAACTCCCTACCCTACCCCTACCTTACCCCAACCCCAACCCTACCCACTACCCCCACCCTTAACCGCCATCCTACCCCCCCCCCCACATTACCCTTCCCTACCCCGGCCCCACCCTACCGCCATCCTATCCCAACTCTCTACCCTACCCCTACCTTACCCCAACCCTAACCCCCACCCTTAACCGCCATCCTACCCCCCACCATATCCCTTCCCTACCTCGGCCCCATCCCTAGTCCTGGCCCCACCCTACCGACATCCTATCCCAACTCCCTACTCTACCCCTACCTTACCCCAACCCTACCCACCCTTACCCCTAACCACGACCCAACCCCCAACCCCTAGACCTTACCACCCCACCCCCAACCCCTAGACCTTACCACCCCACCCCGACCATACCCCTTACCCCACCCCCACCATAACTTCCCTACCCCGACCCCTACGAGTAGGTATGTGTGGGTATGAAGGGTTGTGGGGGAGTATGGGTAGAGTGTAAGATCGTGGTAAGGGTAGGGGTAAGGGTCAAGGGTGTGGAATTGGAGAACTGGGTGAAAAAATTGATGACCATGTTTTCATATTTGAAAATGGAAAACTAAAAAATAGAAACAGAAAATTGGAGATAGAAAAACTGAAAAATAAAAACAGAAAATTGGAGAACGGAAAACAGAAGTAGAAAACAGGAAAATATCTCTGTTAGTAAACAGGCCCTAATAATTTGACCTTTCACCCCATATTTTGTGTCATATTAGATTCCACTCTTCGATTTGATAAAAAGAGGCCATGAGTTCAAAAAAGGAGTAGTTGGGTGCAAACAGCAATATTTTAACATAATCGGGTGCCAATATTACCTTTTTGAAAGTGTGGTGTGAAATCCAATTTCACCAAAATATTATGTTTAAATAAAACTTCATATTAGAAAATTAGGGGTGGACAATTCGGTGTACGATTCGGTTTTCTTCGGTTTCGGTTCGAGTCCGAAACTTTGAGTCTAATCTTCAAGATTGAGTCCTACCCACTCATTTGTATTCTATTTGGGAATAATTTGTGAGTGCCAATGCGGCAATGCATGTCATATAAGCGGCTCAAGTAGCCGGTTAAAACTTACATGCCGCGAAAATTGTCTCATCTTTTCTTTCTATTTGTCCCCACTAAGATTATCCTAGACTAAATGTGATAAAGTTTATCAATTCTTATATTATCAATTTAATATCAACCACATAAATACATTTTCCCTAATAATTGCACTACATTCTCATATCTCAATGTTAGTGAGACGGATGTAGTATTAAAAGTAAAGATAATCGAATAGTTTCAATTTGACCCTAAGTCTAGTTAAATTATACTCCCTCCGTCCCACTAACAACGAGACAAGAGGGAGTGTTACGCAAATCTATAAAAAATGGTTTATGTGGTTGATATCGAATTGATAAAGTAAAAATAAAGTAAGAATGATTTAGATCACACAAACTTTACCAAATAAGATATGAGACAATCTTAGTGGGATGAACTAAAATAGTAAAATGAGACAATCTTAGCGGGACGGAGGTAGTCAAGAAATAAAGGAAAGAGGGAGTCAAGAAAGACAAGATTCAAGAAAAAACAACCGCTAATGCATCAAAATGGCCCTCCCAGCAACTTTACTATTCTCGTCCGATTAAAATGAGATCGATTAAAGGGTCAGTTTGGTCCTCAAAGTTGCAAAAAAGGGGTCAAATAAGTCCTTATATAGAAGATTCTGTCCGGACGTGCCATTTGAGGTGGCTCCCGGTATAATTTTTTGATGAAATTTTTTGAGCATCTTATTCATTAAGTCTAGTTTAGTCATACCAAATTTAAGCTAAAAATTCAATCGGGGAGACATTCAAATGAATTCTTGAAGATAACTGCGGTGTTAACGGCACAGTTATCTTCAAGAATTCATTTGAATGTCTTCCCGATTGAATTTTTATCTGAAATTTGGTATGAGTAAACTAGACTTGATGAATAAGATGCTCAAAACATTTCATAAAAAATTCCACCGGGAGCCACCTAAAATGGCACGTCCAGACAGAATTTTCTATATAAGGACTTATTTGACCCCTCTTTTGCAATTTCGAGGACCAAACTGACCCTTATCCCAAATGAGATCGATATATACCTTATCCTCATCATATGTGATTGTTGATGTCTATCATGACTAGTCCATCTTGATTTGTAATAGGAACCATCTTTTTGTTCTCCCAAGCTTGGACAAACAACTCACATACTAGATAAATGATCAAATAGTAAGGGGTGTTTGGAACTGATTCTGCTTCTGCTTCTTTTTTAAAAGCAGAATCAGAATCAGAATCAGTTTTCAGAAGCTGGTACCCCCCCAGCTTCTAAAAAAACTGATTCTGAGAGTAAATTAGAGTTCCAGAAATGCTTCTGGAATTTCACTCAAACACTCCAGCTTCTGCTTCTGCACCCTGAAGGAGTAGAATCAGTTTTGAGAATCGGATCCAAACACCCCCTAAGTGCACTTAATTTACAAAATACAAACGAATCTCGCCCCACCATTTGAAAGATTTAATGGCTGAAAATGTACAAAGGCATTTTGGTAATAAATCCAAACTTTTACGTATGCAACAATTTGAACGTTCATATGCAACCGTTTATTTCATCGCAAAATGATATACAACACTTCAAACATCAATACGAAACATTAGGAATAGCAGGATAGGTACAATTTTTTGCAAGTAAAATCACTTTGTACTAGATCCAACTAGGCTTACACTCGGTGCAGGCCACCCGGTACTGTGTGGGCCCGGACCGGGAACCGGTTACCGGTTCTGGGTCTAGGCCCGGTTTGTGGGGGGTAACCGGGACGGGTACGGGCTAAGGGAAATGCGAACCGGCCCGGTCGGGCCTGGGTCCGGTTCGGGCCTAAATATTTTTTTTTTTGGTTTTTTCAATTCTTTTTTGCTTTCCCCCGGGTTGGGCTGGGTCACCAGGGTGTTTTGGGCGGGTTTGGGGGTGGGGGGGGAGTCAGGGGGTAGTTAGGAAAGAAAAAAAAGTATAAACAGGCCCGAGCCCAGCCCGAACCGGACCTGGACCAGACCCGGTGGATACCCGGGCCGGTTCCGGACCTAACCCCAAACCCCAACAAGACCGTCAGTCCTAGGCTCGACTCGGGCCCAGTCCATCACTAGATCAAACCCCTTCTAAACTACGTAGTATATGTTAATATATAATGAAAGAGTATTGGGATTGAAAGTAGGACTAGAAATGGCCGGCCTAATGGGATTCCTGCTAAAAATGAAATTTACAACCCAATTTTGGTTTTACTATTAATTTTGTTCGAAGGTATATATCACTCAAACTCACTTTAGGGTTAAAATTTATTTATCTTAAACAATAGATCGGAAATTCAGAAGTTTTAAATTTTTTGACCTAATAATTGAAACTAATAGTTAGTACAAAAAAATTGAATCATAAACTTCTCTTTTGGCCTAAATTGAGTTGTTATGACGAGATTTCTATCACGTCAATATGAACATTATTCATATACACATAATAAAAATTTAGAGAGTTTTTAAGGTTTGACCCCTCATAGCTGTAGGGGTGGACTCGGGCCGGGCGGCCCGAAGCAGAACCGGCCCGGCCCGGTCACTGTTTGAACCGGCCCGAACCGGCGGCCCGGCCCATGGGCGGTTCGGGTCGACCAGGCTCGGTGGCTACCGGTTCCGGGCTCGGACCTTCATTTTGGTGAACCGGCCCGGCCGGTTCGGGCCCGGTCCGGGCCAGATTAAATTTTTTTTTTTGATTTTTTTTAAGTTTTTGGGTTGGATTGGGTATTTTGGGCCATTTGAGGTGGTTTGGGGTTGGGGGGGGGGGGGTAGGGGGTTGATTAGGAAAACCCATATACTCCCTCCGTTTCTAAAAGAACCTCACACTTTCCTTTTTGGGATGTTTCAAAAACAAAGTCACACTTCCCTTATTTCCTTATTTGGCAAAGAAATTTACTCCAAACAGTGCCAAACAGTGCCAAACAGTGTCCAAACAGTGCCAAACAGTGTCTAAACAGTGTTTTCTACAGTAAAGTCAATTTATTTCCTTAATAATCGTGAAGTCAAACTGTGACTTTCTTTTGGAAACGGAGGGAGTATATATATATATATATATATATATATATATATATATATATATATATATATATATATACATATATATATATAGAGGAATGTTCATGTCAGGCCGGCCTGACGGGCTGCTCCGTCCGGACGAGCCCGTTTGGGCACCTTCCCGGTGGAATTTTTTGATGAAATTTTTTGAGCATGTTCCTCGTCAAGTCTAGTTTGTCCATACCAAATTTCAGCTCAAACTTCGATCGGGAAGGTCGTCAAATGATTTTTTCAAGTTAACTGGTCCGGAAAATACATATTCCGGACCAGTTAACTTGAAAAAATCATTTGACGACCTTCCCGATCGAATTTTGAGCTGAAATTTGGTATGGACAAACTAGACTTGACGAGGAACATGCTCAAAAAATTTCATCAAAAAATTCCACCGGGAAGATGCCCAAACGGGCTCGGCCGGACGGGGCAGCCCGTCAGGCCGGCCTGACATGAAGAGCACTCTTACCCTATATATATATATAGGGTAAGGTTCAAGTGAGAAGAACCCTTTGGGTGAGAAATGAGAATGAATCTCAGCCATTGGATTCGACCCCTATATATATATATATATATATATATATATATATATATATATATATATATATATATATATATATATATATATATATATATATATATATATATATATATATATATATATATATATATATATATATATATATATATATATATATATATATATATATATATATATATATATAGGGTAAGGTTCAAGTGAGAAGAACCCTTTGGGTGAGAAATGAGAATGAATCTCAGCCATTGGATTCGACTAAGTTGCAGTAAAAGACACTTCATGATGCACTGAAATATGCAATCTAGCATGGTGGCATTTCTGTAAGTACTTCTGAAAAATCCTTATTACATGTGTCTAGTGCAACATGAAGCTATTTCGGTGCAACGCCGTCAAATATTAGTGCAATATGAAACAGTTTTAGTGCAACATGTGCAAAATTTAAATATTACTGTAACATCAAGCCAATTTCAGTGCAACTACGAAAATCCAACGGCTGAGATTCATTCTCATTTCTCACATTAGAATTAGATGCATTTCTCACCTGAACCAAAATATATATATATATATATATATATATATATATATATATATATATATATATATATATATATATATACACAGAAAAGATCAGGTCCCTCCGGAGGGACGGGAGGGACCGTCCGAACTTTACTGTTTGGGGGGATTCCCGGTAGAATTTTTTGATGAAATTTTTTGAGCATGTTCCTCATCAAGTCTAGTTTGTTCATACCAAATTTCAGCTCAAAATTCGACCGGGAAGGCAGTCAAATAAATTCTTGAAGCTTACTGCACATTCTGCGCATATATAAAGTGCAGTAAGTTTCAAGAATTTATTTGACTGCCTTCCCGGTCGAATTTTGAGCTGAAATTTGGTATGCACAAACTAGACTTGATGAGGAAAATGCTCAAAAAAATTCATCAAAAAATTCCACCGGGAATCCCCCCAAACAGTAAAGTTCGGACGGTCCCTCCCGTCCTTCCGGAGGGACCTGAGCAGTCCTATATATATATATATATATAGAATAGAGATCAAATACAAAGCCTTCTTAATTTACAAAGTACAAACTCATCTTGACCGTCCGATGAGTTGATCCAAAGGACATAAATGCAAGGTGGCATTTTTGTAATAAAACCCAACTTTTTAGGGTGCAACACGTTGCACCTTAATGTGCAACTGTTATTTTTATGACTTTATGATGTGCAATACTTTGAACCTCAATATGCAATGCAAATAACGTCAAGGTGCATCGTACAAATATTTGCACAATAAGCACACTTTGTACTTGATCTTTCCCCTATATATATATATATATATATATATATATATATATATATATATATATATATATATATATAGTCCTGATCCTGTCCAGACGTCCGGACAGGAACCGCCGTCCGGCCGGCGGCGTTTGGCCGCCTTCCCGGTGGAATTTTTTGATGAAATTTTTATGGCATGTTCTCCATCAAGTCTAGTTTATCCACAAAAAAATTCAGCCAAAAACTCAATCGGGAAGGTCGTCAAATGATTTTTGCAAGTTAACTGGTCCGGAAAATACATATTCCGGACTAGTTAACTTGCAAAAATCATTTGACGACCTTCCCGATTGAGTTTTTGGCTGAATTTTTTTGTGGATAAACTAGACTTGATGGAGAACATGCCATAAAAATTTCATCAAAAAATTCCACCGGGAAGGCGGCCAAACGCCGCCGGCCGGACGGCGGTTCCTGTCCGGATGTCTGGACAGGATCATTTGTGTATATATATATATGTATATATATATATATATAACCGAACCGGGCCCGGCCCGGCCCGAACCGGACACGGGGTTACCCGGGCTGGTTCCAGGCCTCCCCTACCTTGAACCAAGGCCCGGCCGGTTCAAGGCCCGAACCGGGCCCGGCCCGAACCGAGTCCACCACTATCATAGCATATACTTCGTATGTTTCAAGCTCTAACTAGTCCTGGACTAGGGTCGGGTCCGGGCTGGGCCTAGGCCCGGGCGGGCCACCGGTTCTGAATAGGTTGGCCCGGGACCGGCCCAGGTAGCCATCGGGTCCAGTTCGGGCCTCGGGTCAATGTTTTTTTTTCCTTTTCCTAATTAATCCCCCCTCACCCCCCCCCCCCCCCCCCAAACCACCACAAATGGCCCAAAATACTCAACCTAACCCAAAAAGTTAAAAAAAATTGCAAAAAAATAAAAATAAAAAGCCTAGAATCAGGCCCAAACCAGCCCGTTCAGCTTTTTGGTGACCCGAGCCCGCACCGGAAACCCCCCGGGCCAGGCTTACCCAGACCGGTCACTGGCCGGGCCACCGAGCCGGGCCGGTTCAGCACAGTACCGGTCCCGGGCCAGTTCCAGGTCGGGCCACCCGGCCCGAGTCGAGGACTAGCTCTAACGAACCTTTCAGTTTTGGCTCTAATGAATTCCCAAGTCATTACAAAAATGATTAGTACAAGGAAATGGAATGGAAAAAAGAAAAATCAAATTCAACCATAGCAAAATTCAAAAACAAGAATAAGTACAACACCCTACCATCTTTTCCTTTTCTTTTTAAAATATCTTTGAAATTATACTACACTATAGAAATACAAAATGCTCAAGTTTGTGGTTGGAAGAGAGCTTGCACAATGCCCATGAGAGAACCACTTATTGATAATGTCTAGAGATGTAATGACTGTTGTTTCTGTGTGAGGCCACCTGTCCAGCAACTTGAAACCGTATCGAGATGCTGCTGAAAGTATGGTTGGTTCGTCAACTCGTCGCGGAACATGGCAGAGAATCAAACCCGCTGGCTCCTCATCTTCTTTACTAGTACCACCACCACCACCATCTAGTCTTCTATGACAAATCAGCTCCCTTGCAGTTTCAAATAATGGTAAGATCGCTTCCAGAACATATGCAACATCGGTGCCTAATATTACGTCAAAGCCCTTATCGTTCATTCTTCTGATGGAGTCAATATCATCTTTGTTCCCCCATTCCAGCTTCATTGTGATCAGTTTTGCAAAAAGTGACGGTTTGAGATTCAGGTTGATATTGTGGTTCAACAAGTCAAGAGCTTTCGAGTCTCCATCAGTGGCAACCACAAGTTGAGCAGATTTTGAAGCAGCCACCATAGAGCAGATCCCTGCACATCCACATCCCAATTCAAGAACCCTTTTCTCCGAAACTATCCTCGGATTTTCAGAAAGCACAGAAGCCATAAACCGCGCTGATTCCCATAGCATCAAGCCAGTTGATTTACATGTATGCTGGTACTCTCTAGAGAGCACATTTATCTTGAAGTGCAACTCATTAATGATAAGTTCAAGGACCTACATATTACATAAGGAGAGTTGGAAGATCAAATTAATTGGAAGATCATTGTTATTAACTGGAAGATCAAATTATATACCATTTACTTGGAAAACATTCCTATGCAGTTTTAGTCTTAATGCCAGTACGGTAATATTGTTTATGCACACATGGTAAGATTGTAAAATTGTTTTTATTGGCATATCACTTTTTCAGCCTTATCAATCAGATTTTTACAACACTAATTCTTACAGGCACTGAATTGGTTAATAGTGAATAAAGTAAGGTTGTTGGAATTTATTTGACTGAATTAGAAGAACTTCTTTGAGAATTAGGTTTTCTTTGTTATAAGATTTTCTTTATAAATGAAATATATATCTAATCTAAGGTGTTCATAGGCCAATTCAACCATTTGAGCTTTGATTTCAGTCAATTTAGTCTTACCAATCAAGCACTTAAAGGTTTTTGGTCCCGGACAACTCAATGCTAAAACACTTGATCCACCCGAGAGTAAAATGACATGCATGTACTCATTTAAGTCTTGTTATAAATTCCTTGAAAGTCAAAGAAAAATATCTTTTGATTCTTGTAAGACAACTACTTTGGGCAAAGGGATATCATGAAGATATCTTAATGTAATTTGAAATATCTATATATGTATCCAAAACCAGTGGTTTAATTATAGTTTTACAAGTGATGTGGGCCAGCAATATGCCCCAAGGACAATAGTTGCACAAAGAAACGAGAACTAGATTATGAGTTGCATACCTCTTCACTTGAAGATGAAATACCAAACATTTCAAAAGCAATTCCTTCAGAAATATCAATGTCAAATTCATTTGCATTGTCCTCTGCTTTTATTGGTATCACAGGTTCTGGACTTTCCATACCAAGCTCTTTTACCTTGCCCTTGGTTTTCAAATCAGATTTACCACAACCTAAATGGAATACAGCTTGAACCCAACGTCTGACACAACAGTTGAAACATCAGACCCCGTTAGAAATCGCATGAAAAGATTTGGAGCTGAGTGTTGACTTAATAAGATCTACAAGACAACTCAAAGGCTTATAGGATCTTGCCATACTAATACACTGGAATGAGTGTAGCAAGGAATGAAACCTGTAGGCTATGTATGTTTATACAAAGAGAGCGCTTTCTCCCAAGCGGCTTAATAAAATTACTACTTCATATACTGTCAGGTAGGGAGCATTTTATCCTATCTTCAATATCCTCAGAAATTCACATTGACGTTTCAAGTTGCAGCTTAAGTTATGCGGTTATGCCATAACTCAAAGAAAATATGGAGCTAGACCAGAAAGTTCAACGATTCTATGCCATAAGGACTAATAGAGGGTGATATTTTGGCAAAACCACGGGCAAAGTTAAAAGAACACAAACATACCCTTCGACAATCAGTCAATGAAGATTCAGTAAAACACACTAACCAGCAATGGCTTAAGTAGTGTGAATGACACAAACAGAAAGCATTTTTTCGTTTCTTGTTTGCAAGAAGAGAACTTAATAAGTAACTGATGTAAAGGACCCTTATTAAGGAAATTACATGTTTTCCCTTGAAAACTTCAATGTTTGCAGAGCTTCTGTTTGAAATTAACAATTTCATAGCAATAGTACAAAGGCCAAAACTAACAATAACCTGAGGATTAAAGGGCTAGAAATGGGAAAGCACATAACTCAAAGACAGGATTACAAATGTGGAGTACCACATATCTCAGCGATGATAAATTTCAACTAGTCATATACTCATATTGAAAGTAAATACTTCAGATGTTCCATAATTTTCTGCCCTCTTTGAAAGTTGGAAGTTGGCCAACTACTAAGAGAATGGAGACAAAATCAACCACATAGTTCTTTCCTTAAAAACAATTACCCTAAATAGGATAAAAACAATGTTGAGCACTGTGTTTTCATTTCCTAAATATGAGTAACTATTGTTATGCTTGGAATAACACTGTCAATTATGACGGCATTAATACTGCAATACTAAAGTGTGATAATCTCAAAATATGGAAATAAAATGTCAAAAGGATAGTGAGTTTTTCTTATTTAGGGAAAATACATACTAGTCATGTTTTGAAATTTTACATTTTTCATTCCTATTTCGGGAATTTTCCCTAGAAGGAAACACGACTACAAATTTTGGGACAATCCAGCTGGAATGCAGGAAGAAATTTATGGGACGAGGGGAATAAATGCTAAAAATTAAATCTTAATCAAGGGGTTCCACAACTTCCTCTTCCCCTTTGTACTTAGATTTATCTAAAGCTGTTATGATTCTGAGTTTCTGACTCTTGTCAGTTGTCACCGTAACTCCATGTTTCCATCTTTTTATATATACATTCTTTTACACTCATTAACTAATAGAATATCATTGGCAAACCACATACAACATGGTGCATAAACCTACAATGTAAAAAATAATCCGATTAATAATGTCCAGTATCTGAGTATCAAGAATGGCTTTTTTAAAAACTATAAAGATTCTTTCTTTAGCATTTGGCTAAGTTTTGCCAATGTTGGGCTACAATTGAAAAGGGTCTGGTACTAAAATTTCAGATTATTAACCTTCAGAATGAAACATTCAAAGCCAAAGTTTGTATGGATTCCATTAGAATATTAGATATTGAGATTCTTAAACTTCAGTATTATACTTGGTACAAGAAAATAATTAAATAGTTGAACAACATATTTTTGCCCAATCCCCATCATTGCTGTTTCAAGTAAAACCTGAGGGTGGAAAACAGAGAAAGTCTATGATCCTTCTGCCAGCTAGAGGTTTCCAAAAGATACCAGAATAAATAACTATAGGTTAATTCTTGAAAGACACTAATATTTGTAGTTTAAAAACATAAATGCTATGAAAGATGCGCACAGAACTTTCAATATACATAACCCTGCATGCCTGTACTAACCATATGCATATAGTTGATCTGACTCGAGTCAAAGAGTGCGGAACTAAAAAATCTTAAAAGGCAACATGAATATAACAGGGTAAATAGTGTGCTTATATTGATACCTATTCATCACAATTTCTCTTGAGCGATTCTCCACTTTCTTAAGGCACAAAAAGTGTTCGTCAGTATCAAATCCATTCTCTTTGAAAAGATTTGTCAAGAACTCAACAGAGAAGTAGAACGCCCGCTGGTAAATATATATTATATAAGATGATCTGAATTTATTTTTAAAAATAAAACAAACATTTTCTCTCCAAGACAAATCAGTATCTATGACATGAACTTACAGTTCCATCACCCCGAACATAGAAGTTATCACTGATCTTTTGTTCCTTTGAGATTAACCTTTCCTGCAAAAAAACATACATTTTAACAAGAGAGAGACTGACTTGTATACTCCAAGTTTGCAAGAGCTATGGAGCATCATGGGAGTATTTTTATAAAGATTGCATTCCTCTTCTTTAGATTTTTTACTTTTGCTTTGATCATATTGAATGTTGACTTGGATGAACTAAACTTTCACATTAAATCAACTGGAAGAATAACTTTGCACCTAACGTAGTGCACCTTGATACAGATTCTAAGTATGTAAGTTAAAAAACACCGTTACCTTCGTGAATACTATCATCATGTATCCACAAACAATAGATAATACACCAAAATACATGGATGTGAGCATAAGACCATTTGGAGTGGTGAGGTATTAGGAGTCCAAAATGCTAAATGTAGAATTTTTGGACTCCTAATTGTGTGTAGTGGTGGTTTAAAAGGGGTATTAAAAATGGAAAAGGGGATGGAAGGTATTAAATATAGAGGGTTGGTTAAGAGGGGAGTGGGAAAAAGAAAACGAGAGAAAAAAGAAAGCAGGTTGCTTTTCTGGTGCGAATGATGTCATGCTGATGTCATCCCTGCATCATAATATCCCAAAAAAATTTAAACTTGTATAACTTTTTTATTTTTTATCCAAATTTTTCAAAAAGTATATCAAAATTCATAAATTTTTATGATCTTTAATATCACACCAATATGTAATATATAAAAATGATTTTTTTTTAAGTTTGAACTGTTGAAGTTTTCTTGAGCCCCGGAAAAACATGAAACACAAATCTTTAATTCATGAAGCCTTCACAAATAATTGAATATTCCATAATCGAACTTTACTTCAATTAAGTTCATATTTTGTTAACCAAAAAACGTTAAAAAATTATTTAAATTTATTTATTTTTACATCGAAATATGTATTTTTTATTTCATAATTATTCACGAAAAAATTAAAAGGAAAACATTATTTATAATAATTTAATTAATGTTTTTGTAAGTTGATAGGTTAAAATATATGCTGAGTGTATTTTAATGACGGTGCTGGAATGCAGGAAAGTGGGAGTCTAAACACTGCTTTCATATGGACGGAGCCCATATTTAACAATTTGGCCTCTCAACCACTCCAAATGGTCTAATATTAAAAGCAGAATGACCAGTATTATTAATGCACATCGTAGTTATAGCCAGTCATCATGATAGCATTAAATATGGGCCGGTCATCATGATTGTAATAAAGTCAAATACAATCCATAGTGTATTACTCCCTCCGTCCCGCTATGATTGTCCCTTTACCTTTTCGGTCCGTCCCACTAAGATTGTCCCATACCTTATTTGGTAAAATTTGTGTGGTTCTAAATCATTTCTACTTTATTCTTACTTTATCAATTCAATATCAACCACATAAACCCACTTTTATTAATAACCGAGCCACCTTCTCTTGTCCCAAACTTAGGGGAACGGAGGTAGTAATATATAAGGGGTTTATACTTTATATGCAATATGTTGCTGCAAGTGATGGCAACAAAAAAGTATGTTATCCTTATTCACCAATTTCAATTTCACACGAATAATAAAATACAAACTTTGCAAAGAAAGGAGGTAATCAGGTACCAAAAACTACGTAAGCATGATGAGTAAAGAGCGTCACAATCCGTGATTTAAATTTTACCTGAGCCAGGTCTCCAGTTGCATAGTCACGAAATAAGACAAAACCGTCTGGCTGGGAAGCAAAAAAGTGGCATAATGAAGAAAACAAATTAAACTAAATCACACAAGCATGTTCATGCTATCAAAAAGCAACTAGACGCATGATCTTGAATATATAACCTTGAGAACTTTTCCAATGTTCTGTATCACTAGTGACATCTTCTCAGGGGTTACTGCAGATAAAACAAATATCTGTTTACCAAGTCAGTGTATGTTAGAGGAATAACCCATGTTTATCAGCTCATGAAAAAGGGAATATAGAAATAGTAATATCTGTAAAGAATAAAACTATCCAAACAAATATTAGAGCAGAAATCCATCACAGGAAAACTACTTGCATTTTGTGCATCTTTATTTTAATACCATGGTCACAATATCTACTGAAGATGGAGCAATATGCTGGCATAGATCATCAGCAGTCAAGTCACAAACAAATGCATTGATTCTGGCCTCTTCAAAATCTTTGCGGGTCTGCAATTAATTTAGAAAAAAAAACGAAGGGAAATTTTAATAGGTATCTAAAATCTATCTATGAAGTGCTGAGTCAGAACTCGGAATTTGATTTGGATGGGCTTTACTAATAGTAATGGTGCTGTGGTGTTATTTGGACACATAAAAGCTTGGCACTGGAATCAAAATTTAAAAATAAATATGTTTATCAGAAAATGTTGTCCAAAATTGCAGGCCTCTCCTCTCTGTACCTCACACGTCTCTCCTTCACCACTCCACATTACATCTGCCCTCTATTTCTCACAAGAGACGCCAGTGACTCTTCACCCAAAATTAAGGAGAAGTTGGAAAAGAAGAAGAAATAAAATAAATAAAAGAAATTGCTTCAAATAAGACTAAAACATACACAAAGTGCATAAATAAGACCAAGTATGTTTTATGCACAAAATAGGACTTATTTGATCCTATTTAAAGTACAAAACTTCCCCAATTAGGAGTGAATGAGTCATATTTTAGGAAGAAATCAATGGTGATCCTCTTTGTTCACTTTATCCATGTTTAGAATTTTAGTCCTATTTAAGGAATTTTCTTATAAATAAAACAAAAGAGAAAAAGAAGAATGAAATAAAGTGGGGAATGAAACAATGTGGAAAATTCAGGGCTTGATAGTGAGACTAAACTTATAAGACAAACAGCATCAATATGAACGGTTGTTATTCCACGCTTCAAAAGTTGCCAACCAAATGCCTCTTATAGCAATTACAAATCAAAAGTACACAATAAACAATTACATTTTCTGAAAGGTTTCAGGTACTTGTCAACTATTCAGTTAGCCTTTTAGAAGGGTTGGTGTTTGCATTGGGAGGTAGGAACTTAGTCCTGCATTGAGGTGTGAATGGCATGGCCAGTTAAAGTTGGCACCCATAAGCCTCCATATTGTAGAATGAAAATGAGGAGATCTTTGCCTATGACATAACATACAGAGCCGCAGCTTTGAAGCATCTATCACTTGCACATCAGTGCTTTAAACTCACAATGTGATGGATTTATATTTGCAGTGGTTTAACTATTGGAAATACAGCCCATTACCTAAAGGATGCTTGCAACCGGACAAATGTATCATGAAGCTTAGTTATGCGGATTACATTTGCAACTATCGAACTAAACATCTTATTGAAGTGCCGAAACACAATAAAAACATGAGAAAACTTGAAAATATTATCTCCATAGAATATACTCACCTTGACCAAGTTTACAGCTCGTGGTGAAAAGTCACAAGCGTGCACGAATATATCAGGATACGTAGCCAGCAAGGGGTAGACGGTGTTTCCAGCACCACAACCAACCTGGAAACATCATGCATAACTAAGGATCAATGAATGTCAATCACAACAACAACAACCAAGCCTTAGTCGCAAAATATTTTGGGGTCGGCTAACATGAATCGATAATTATGTATAAAAGCATGAACATAACTAACTGAATAGTATAAAGCATGAAGCCCATTTTAGCTTTCAAAATTGTTATCAATTACTCCCTTCTTCCCAAAATAAATTTTACGTTTCCGTTTGGTAAATGATCCTACATACCATTCATACTTTAGCCTTCCTTTTACTTAAATCTACAACATTGTCATTCCAACTTTACTCACTTTTTCACTGATATGATAAAATGAGAGGGTATTTTAGTTTTTTTATCCCATCTTCTTAGGATGTTTTTACTTGGACTGTAATTTGCTGGTCTGGTCTGGTCTGGTCTGATCTGGTCTGGTCTGAACTGGTAAGGTCTGGTTTCTTTGTATTTTTATAACTATCCAAGTCTGGTCTGGTCTGGTCTGAACTGGTCTGGTCTGGACTGGTCTGGTCTGGACTGGTCTGATCTGGTCTGGGGTAAATTACAGTCCAAGTAAAAACATCCTTAATCTACAACACCAAAAGTTTTGTCACAATTAATTTGGGTGGAGGTAGTATAGTTTACGTAAATAAAGTAACATCATTCAATTGATTGTCATTCCAGAGAAAGCATCAAACACAGTTTCAGGTTTTTCTCACGAAACATGACTTCAAATAAAAACAAAGGTCATATCAAGTATCAAAAGCAAGAAAAACGATTTATTAGAAGCACTCCCAGATGCTGCCCATTGAATCGAAATGATAAACTCATTATTGCATCAAAAGGTTAAGTCAATACAATTACAACAGCGTCCTGACAAGTAGGATGGAAATGCGTAGTGCCTCATATTTGATGTCAAGCAGAAACCTTTGGAAGTAGAAGCATTTCAAAATTAAGACAAGTTTTCCAGCTGTCGAAATCATATCGCTATCGGAAACAAGTGATAGAAGATTTACAGTCTGATGGAAACTAAGATACATTACAAACTGCAATATGACCAATATTTATATAAACTACCTCAAGGATTACTTTCCCTCCAGCACCCTGCAAAGATTAAGAAATAGTGAGTGTAATAGACTACATATACACAATGACCAGATGGAGAAAAACACCTAGTAAGATAAAAAAAAAGTAATATACTTATTGTGATTATTGTTTGGGCTTACAGAAAAGTAGTGCCCCCATTCCTTGTCCAAGTAGTGCCTATCCTTGAAAAACTGATTATAATTTTATTATAAAGACAAAAAAGTTAACTTCCCTCCATAGCTCAACTGGTCAATGGAAAATTAATAATACATACATGAAACTTTACTCTACTTTCCTAGTTAGTTAATTTCATGAAAGTCGAAAACTTTACTGTACTTTCCTAGTTAGCTAAGTTTAATTGAATAATTTGATGACAAGAAAGTCGGTTCACTTGGGGAACCTCTTAGAATTCAATTTTGGAGAAGCCCTAAATGGGGTTCTTGAAAGATGAGTATTCCTTGTAAATCATATTTTAATTTTTCGCTTTCCTTTTGCGGTTGTCCCTAAATAAAGTCCTTTGCCCTACCGATTTAATAAAAAATTTATATCAATTGACTCTACTACTCTTAAATAATAATGACACTACGGTGCAAAACATTGTTAAATAGTGTCAAAATAGTGTACTCCATCGTAAAATTTACCCTTAGTAAAAGGGGCATATCATTACTTAAAAAGAAAAGAACTTATCATGCAATTCAAAGCGAGATTTTTACATAGGGACGGCCGGACGGGTTATGTTATTGCATTCACTTAGACTAGCCTAATACGGAGTAATTATTTAAACAAATCCTATTTATACACACTAAATTACAAAAAATCACTCAATATTTGTAGAACTTAGTTCACCGGAATCAAGTAGAGCTTTAATTGAACACGCTATAATGTACCACAAAGATGGACTTTTCTGGTTAACAAGAGAAGCGTACTTTATCTTGATGGCGTTTGTAAAAGATTTCCCAGTACTTCTTTGCTTCCCTATCATACTTCTCTGCCCAGCAGAAAAGAAAACAAAGCTACTAGCTTAGTAAAATGTATCTCAATAATCATAGACCAAATCACCAAATTATTTATATATATATATGGTGACAGAAACCTTTCCAGAAAGATGAAACTTCGCCAGTTGAAGGGGGGTATATCTGAATTTTAACTGGCTTTGGATGCTGCTCCTTCGTCTTGGATACCGATGTCTGGGTATCATGTTCCATTGACCGGATATGCCGGACTCGCAGGCTCGCAGTAAGGCAGAATTCAAATGACTTTTGGATTGAAATCTGCTGGTAGCGTCTTGTCATATGATAAAAGTTCTGACTATTTGGTCTCATTTGGGATGTTTTCAGTCCCAAGAGATCAGACCAGATCAGACCAGACCACACCAGACGTAAACAGACCAAACCAGACCAGACTTGGATAGTTATAAAATACACCGAGACCAGACGTTTACCAGACCAGACCAGTTCAGACCAGACCAGCAAATATCAGCCCAAAAGAAAACATCCTTGATCTAATCTGAAATCATCAAATTGAATCTGATTTATAACTGATTTAGTCTGGTCTAATCTTATTTGGGACTCAAAAATGGTCCAAACAAAAACTTCCTAAATATATACTCCGTAGCTTGTATGAAGTGTTTAAATAAGTTCTGCATAGTATCTCTAAGAATAATTATATTTTCCTTGTAACATTATTATTTCAAGAACTAGATGGGACCACATGAGTCGACCGGGAACTTAAATTGGTAGATTGTAGATCCACTACTCAGGACATCCCCAATTATAGATTATTTTTTAAATCATTTTAATGATGTGGAGGATTTTTTTTTTTTGGATTATGGATGAGGAGTTAGAGATTATTTTATGAGATTATTTGATAAAATAATCTGTTATCAAATTCTAAAGTTGGATTATTTTGATATTATTTCCAACTTCTAGACATATACTCATAATTATGGTGATGACTAGATTTATAGTTTGTGCATGCTCCTATCAAAGGTAAATAAAGATCACGAATGAGAAGAAATTTATTGGTTTGGAGATTATTTGATATTATCTTATGTGGATGTGACATGTCAATAATAAATCATGAAAAACCGTAAAATTAAAGATCATCAATGTGAATGTTGGGCAAACTAGAGACTCATTTGACGTTGACGGGATATGGAATGGGACGCTCAACGGAGATTCGAACTCTAGAGGTATGTTTAAATTTAGGAAAGTAATGCTACCTTTGCTATTTGAAAACAAATTGCTCTACAAAATGTGTAGACATGTCTGTCTTTCACAGAAATTTTCGCAATTTCTAGAATATAGTTGCTCATATCCCTCGTTTTCGCCTCCAATATATATCGATCTTCTTCTTTTGGAACTCCAACATTCATCTCTCTTATATTTTCTGCATCTCCTCCCGCTTCTCTCTTGCTCTTTTGATCGGAATATTCATCTTCCTGATTGTTGGCGCTAACACTAATGTAACAAATTCATATATTCCTCGTCCCTCTCTTTCTCCTACAATTTCTTCTTCTTGATCAATTCTAGAGATTTGTCCCTTATTGTAATGTAGGAACGGAAAGGGAAAGCAACTAACATCTTAAAGTAAAAAAGAAGTGTTGTACGGATATAGTTCAAAACAAGTCTGGGTGCCTTAATTTCTCAAAGTGACATTCATCTTCATGAAAGGAATATAACAAGTGTCTAAATGAGCATTCACTATACATCAAGATTAAATATTAATTTTGTGATTCTACGTAGATGATTGATCTTAACCACAAGTAATCCAATAATGTGAGAGAGTTATTATTTCTATTTTGGGAATAAAGGGAGTATAGTCCTAATTTGGAATTATGGACCATTAGTAATCCCGTATACTATCGTATTTAGGGCTAATAGTCGTTTTTAACCTCGAAACTTTTGTAGTGTTTGCACTTTTTCACCATAGCTTGCATATTTGGTATTTTCAACAACAACAAAATTGCATATTTCATCTTTTAACTAATAAATTTATTCATGTTAAGGACTATTATTTCCACCGGTACATAATCTTTATTGGTAATCTTAAATAAGTTCTATTTTGATTAGAAAACATACAAAGTTTATTTATTTTTATAACTTTATTCATATTTTACTACAGAGGATGATCTATGTACGGGCTATGGTATGCTGAAGACCAGGACAACTTTGAAAATTTTCAACTTTTTTAGTGTAAATGTTTTCATATTTCACGTTTAGCCAATCCCTTTAATATTTAAACCTAGAATAACTTTTATTCAACCCAGGACATCTCAAATTTCTGGATCTGCCCTTGCTTATATATTTCTCTTTAAAAAGTGATACAAAAACTCCAATGTCCCATTAGTATGTGTCACTATTGTGCTTAGTGCTGTTATTCGAGCCGAGCCGAGCCCGAGTATCACAAATTCGAGCTCGGCTCGTTCATTTTTCGAGCCTGGCTCGAGCTCGGCTCGTTAACATTCGATTCTATATTTGAGCTCGAACTCGGCTCGTTAAGGCGTATTAACAGCTCGAGCTCGACTCGTTAATATACTCGAGTCAAGCTACTCGAGCTCGAGCTCGACAACTCGAACTCTAATGCTATAAAATGACAATTTTGCCCACCTCACGAGCCCTATCACGAGCTTCACCGAGTTTTTCGAGTCGAGCCAGCTCGGCTCGTTAACGTTATCGAGTAAACAAGTGAGTTCGAGCTCGACTCGTTTTCTCGAATATACGAGCCGAGTTCGAGCTTAATCGAGCCGAGTCGAGTCGAGTTCGAGCCAAGCTCGATTTCTATAACAGCACTAATTGTGCTACATAGTTATGTATATATATACAAATTTATAAAATCGTGATTCCATTCTTACAATAGACAAGTCTCAACTCTGAAGCCAAGAAGCCTTCTATTGATCAAAATTCTTTCATTCTCATTACAAGAGCCATGCACAAGCTAAATTACACATTTATACTCCGTGCATACTCTATAGAAGATGCAGAAAGAACACTACTTACAAGTTACAAAACAAAACATCCGTTTCATCAAATTCAAAACGATGGAAAATAGAAATCCTGTTTTTCCTCTTCCCCTTTCAAAATTGTGTTGCGTGTTCTTAATCTTCATGATGATTCTTGGAATCAAATCTCAGGACCAAGTAATTAATGATGTATTCTGCGTCAGTGAATGTGGAGCATGCCCTAAAGTTTGCGCTACTCCGCCACCGGGAGGAACCTCCCAGCCACCACCAATACCATCGGTACAACCGCCGCCGCCACACCATTCCCGGCCCCCTTTACCGCCGTATTACTACATGGCGCCTCCGGTACCGCCCGGAGTGTACATCACCCCAATAAAACCACCATCCCTTTCCCACAACAGCCCACCAACTGTCCCGTACTTTTCCCTCCCACCGCCATCAACTCCGGTGCCTGTTATGATGCCACCGCCATCCCAGCCGGAGACTCATCGGCGGCCGCCGCCATCCACTATGCCTCAGCTGTCTCCGCCTGTAAGTACACCGCCAGCGGCTGGTTCAGGGCAGGGGCAATATAACTATACATACTACGGCTTCGACATATCCGAGGCCGCCGCCTCTAATGGCAGGGCGTGTGGACCGATTGTGCTTTTTGCGGTGTTGATATTCGTCCTGCCGAAATGGTGAAAGGGAGTCCCGTTCCTGCAATATTTGTTGAGAGAATTCAAGATTAGGAACAAAACATACGGTGTATTAAATATGCAAAACTAGGACTCCTATCAAACATTGTAATTTGCTATACAGAAATTAATAGCAAGGGACAAAGATGCCCTTAATGAGTACTCCAACTTATTTAGGGTTGGTTTGCAACTGCTTTTAAAAAAGCACTTCTCAGCTTTTGGTTTTAAAAAAGTACTAATTTCCCAAACACTACAAATTTTATTTTTCTCGGCTTCCGCGTCAAAAGTGCTTTTACTTTTTCTATTACACAAAAAGCACTTACTTTACCAAACACTACCCACTTTTACTTTTCAAAATCACTTTTTTGTCAAACACTATCAACTTTTATTTAATCACTTCTCCTCATTTCATTAAAAAAAACACTTTTTTAAAAGCAGAAGCTGTTGCAAACAGACCCTTAGTAATAAAAATATAAAATAGAATAATAAACTAATTAACGCATTACACAACAAGTCAACAATTTAGTTTTCCTTCCCAATCACATTTGCTGCGAGCATCACCCAAGGGCAGTACCTGCACCGCCAACCGCCCCTAACCACCGTTGGACGCCGCCACTAGACGCCACCGCCAGACGCCGGATGTTACCTAACCTAACGACTGCTAGGCTACAGAAACACTCTGTTACATTTCTCACATTTATTATATAAGATCCCTTTATTCAACACAAAAATACATGTATTATTTCAAATTGGATATATATATATATATATATATATATATATATATATATATATATATATAGGAGTTGGGTAGGGGTTGAGTGGGGGTAACTGCCCCCCCTGCCCCCACCCTGGATACGCCCCTGGTGACTGAAGGGATATCCATTTTCTACCCACTTATAGACCCTCCAAATTTACTACTCCGTATGATTATTGAATATCCCGGTGCTTACACATACACTCCTCAATTCCCTTGGGCCTTCAGGAAGAACTGATTTTGAATAAGCCTCCCTTCAAAGAAATAGAACTTTTGACTTGGGGTTCCTGAACCATTTGTATAGTCATTATAACTTGGAGTAATAGGGTAGTTTGATAAGAATGTTACCAAATAAAGAAACAAATTGTAGTACTCCGTATCACACAATTGAAGACAGTGACATAGATAAGGCGCCAAGGCCCTAACAACTACGTGATAGCAGGCTTAGCAGCCCACGCACCAACTATCTTTGATTTTGGTTAGAAGATGGGGACTTGACTATTTGGACTTCCTCCTGAACTATCATTGTAACTAAGAAGATAGTGGAGTGAATAGATTGATAAGGATTGTTTTACAAACAAATGTATATAAATGTCACTGGTTAAGAAAATGTCACAATGGCAATGTCATTGTCAATGCTGATGAGTGCCCTTGATACCAACTGTGAGTTCCAAGTGAGGTAAAAGTCTAGAGGAGGGGGGGTGAATAGACTTTTAAATCTTTTTATTTTCTTCCCCTTATTCTCTAACTGGATATGTTCCAACATCTTTTGAGAGATATTGAAACATGCAGCGGAAGTCTTGACCTCAAGAGGATGACACTATATAGAGACGAAGGTTATGATCTTTTTAGTTGTGAGAGAGATGGGTTAAACATTGTACAAATGTACGTGTTTGCCAAAAACAGAACACTTTTGGAAGCAGGCTGCCGAAACCTGAAGGAGATGGCTGCCAGAAATCATTGGGAACTAACTGCTAAACCTTAGGAGCAGGCTGCCGAAATGTGTTTCTGTTTGTTTAGTTAAAGTATAGCACAAAACTTTCCTCTAACAACTTGAATGACTTTAGAATTAGTCTAACACAAGTGTATGAAGGATTTAGACCAATGGAGATATGTCACTTTGAAGAACAAATAACAAGGAGATGACTCACAGTGAACTGGAAAGTTCACTAGACAGCTTAAATGAGCAAGCTATTTTTCTAGTGCAGTTGTGAAGGTGAGTGAGAACTGAAATAAGTGTTAGGTGCAGAATGTAAAGGTGACACACGATGTATCATGGTTCAGGGGTGGTGTAATCCCCCTACATCCAGTCTCAACCTATTTCAGATGGATTTTCCTTAAATGTATATCCCATTACATCTAGTACCCAATCTACCCTTGGCCCAAGCGTAGATTGTGAGGTTTAATTTTTCACGAGGAACTTGAACACTGTTCCAAGCTACTCATGTCCTCCCAAGGTTTTTCACTAATGGCATTGACTGACCAAGAGCTACTCATGTCCTTTCCCTTTCTCACCTTCTGGATTTGATCATCGAGCCCTCCAGAATGTCTAACACTAGTTTAGAATACATGAGTGTATTTTCTAAACTACCAACTAGTCTAAGCTCTATTGATTTGTATGAAACATAACTAGTCTAAGAGCATTAGATGAGTGGGGTGGCGGCCTAAGTGTAGAAGGGAAAACAACATACTAGATTTGAGCGTGAAGAGTGTGATTTCCTTCTATCCACTGTACTTGGCTCCTTTGTTTTTTCCACTTAATTACCACATTTTTCCACACTTGGTAATCCCGCACTCCTTCTGTATTTATAGACTTGATCACTTCATATTCACCGTTGGCTGAGAAAATGAATCTTGACCGTTGCTTGATCTACTTGCTTTGTTCCACTTGACTGAGGCAGCATGTTTTCTTCTTTTCACGTAGTGACAGGGATCAACTATCTTCAGCTCAACTTGTTTACACATTTCAATGCAAGATAAAAGATATTTCATCTTTATTTTCCTGCGTAGAAACTAGTATAAAGTGAGTGATATTTCAATGCTTCCTTACAATACAATGATCAAACACTTGCTTTTGTAAAATAAATTTATAAGAAATTCATAATGTGATAAAAATCTCTTATAAACTTTTTAACAATTTGTTCTTTTGTCTGCAAGTTGGTCTTTTGTATAAGTGTTTTGTGCTAAGAGAAGAGAGAATTGGATTTCTGACGAGTTAGCTGAAAACCCCAGTTTTCAGCTGGCTGCCCAGAAATCAGCTAAAATTTCTGGAGTTTTTCCAGTTTAGCTCATTCCTAAACTTTGAATACCAGTTAACTCTTTTCGTACCTTTTTTTCTTTTTTTGATCTTTTTCTTTCTCCTGTTTATGATACGTTTAACTTCTCTTTTAGTACTCTTTGCTTTTTATGAGTACTTTATCCACTAAATATGGAGCACATTACAATTACACAAAGTAGAACAAAGTAGTAGACTAGTCTAATACAAGAATAATAAAAAGGGGTGACATCATCAAAACTATTACATTATACATCAAAATCTAGAGGACCTAACAGATGCTATTAAATGACAATGCAATTATGACAATGTCAATAGCTATTATGACAATGTTAATTTTATATAAAAAAAAGTCACAATGTCAAAAAAATGTTGTAATCTCAATTAATCACGATGACAATGTCATAAAAATGTCAATGATAATATCATAAGAATGTCAATGACAATGTCATATTTAAGAATGTCAATCATTATGAAAATGACATTGTTAAAACTAATGACATTTTTATTTTCACCAGGTGCAACGTTTGCAAGACAAAGCCAATTCACATTCATCACTTTATACTTTATGTTTATTTTCTTGTTAATATATAATATAAATGATACAAAAATAAAGTAAATGTCTAAAAGGAATCAAAAATAACAATGAAGAAGCAATTAATATAAAAATTAATATATAATATAAATGATACAAAAATAAAGTAAATGTCTAAAAGGAATCAAAAATAACAATGAAGAAGCAATTAATATAAAAATTAAACAAAACAAACTAAAGTTGAGATTTGAAAAAGGAATTAGAAAAATCATTTAAATTTTAAACCAAACACAAGTGCTTTGGACTTCCTGGAGTGATTGGAATCACACGGACATGGTCAATCAAAAAATGACTGCTCATCTACGAAAGAAAAAAAAAGAAGAGACAAAGGCCATTAAGGACGGATTCGGAAGAAAAGAAACGAAGAGAAAAAGAGCCGCGAGAGAAGAAATAAGAAGAGAAGAAAGAGTAGGAGATGAGGAGGAAGTGAAAAAGAAGAAGAGATTCGTAAGATTTTGGCTGGCGCTGCTGCAGTGGATATCTTTCCTCGCTGTCTATCGTGTCTCTAGCGTCCGGAGGTGTTGTCGCCGCTGCAATAACCGCCAGTGCCGCGCGACCGCGCCGTCCTCAACCCATTAAGTTTCCGCGAGCAAGCCCTCTTGTCCCGTAAATTGCTCCACCCAATCCCTTGCCGTATGGCTGGATGTGTTTGTTGACTGAAAGGCAGAGGTAATACGGAGTAATATGATAGGGGTAAATTGGGAAGACACAGAAAAATAAGTCCTATTTAGAAATTAAAAAACTTGGACTCCTATTTAGTTACATTAAGTATTTTTTAGTCCTATTTGACACCATTTCTCAATTCTAAGTACTATACGTATGAGGGAAATGTGACGCATTTCTTGAAATAACTCAGTCATCATTATTTTCTTCTTATTGCTCATTTAATTTAATCCTAACAAAAGCTTTAGTTTCTTTTATTAATTAGGGTATCCACGGACAATAGAAGGTTTCAAATTTTATTTTTGGAACGTCGACTTGGAATTGGTATATAAATTTATAAATATAAATATTTGTCATTTTATTATATTGTAGGGATCGGATGTGGCGTGTTCTTATTTTGATCCTCTTCTAATTAAATATATGCGTAGTAACATGATGAAATTTGACCTATAAACGTGACATTACATGTTATTAAATAAATGATGATGTGGCAAAGTAGCTAGCTAGGATGGCATGGATTAACTTGACACCATAATTATTTATCATGGAAGCTCTTAATAAGACTAAGTAACTCTTGTTTTGAAAATACAACATAACTGTTTAATTAGTTCTATGTTTAGTTTGTTTCCTTTATGCTTTCAGCTTTCATTTTTTCTTTGATGTTTAATTAGTTCCATGTACTTTCTATTTCGGATCTCTTTTTAATAGAGTTCCTTTCTTCAAAAAAATACTCCGTACGACATAAGTCACATAACTACTTCAATTCATACTACGTATTTTACTCTTATTTTGAAGCTTTTGATTTTCACTCCAATTTTGAACAATTTCAATTCCTTTAATGTTCTAGTCATATTTAATTTAAGTAACTTTTTATATACAAATACAAATATGAGAGTCTTAGCCCTGAAGATATGATAAACATAGTACTTTGTACAACATTTCAAGTCCAGCTAGGA